GGAGGAGAGGTTGTGGTGGTTGCTTTGGAGGTAGGTGGCCCGGAGGGGGTTCATGTACCAGTTCTCATCTTCGCCATGGTAAGATACAAAAATCTCAAGCACGGCTCTATACGAGTTCATCGGAATCTTCACCTCCGAGGACACCAAGTGACTATCATTCATCACCTTAAACGGAGGAGAGGTTGTGGTGGTTGCTTTGGAGGTAGGTGGCCCGGAGGGGGTTCATGTACCAGTTCTCATCTTCGCCATGGTAAGATACAAAAATCTCAAGCACGGCTCTATACGAGTTCATCGGAATCTTCACCTCCGAGGACACCAAGTGACTATCATTCATCACCTTAAACCAGAAACTATCGGAAACCGCAACAAATTCAACAGTTCCGCCGCGCTCACGATACACCCCTTGATCTCGGTATGTATGCCGTGACCCGACCTTCTTCTTCCCCTCCAACATCCTCCTCTGTAAAAACGTTCGCGCTATAAACTCCCGCCAAAACCTGGTTCGAATTCTCAAGCATCATCGAAACAACCCCACCTGAATTACCCACTCGCCGTAAGAGCGCAGCGTATCGCGTAATGTCCTTTTGAATTTTCCAGAATGCGCCAGGCGCTTTGGGGGTCGGAGTTGTGGTGCGGAGGACCTCGGCGCCGTCGATCCAGACGGCGGCGATGCGGTGCTGTTGGAGGTCGGAGGCGGAGACGGAGAGCTCGAGGATGACGCGGGTCCACGGGAACGGCCACTCTCGAGGTTGGGTGTAGTTGGCGGAGGCGGGAGGGAGCCGACGCCATGTCGGCAAAGCTTGTTGGAGGGCGACGATGGAGCATTCCGGGTTGGTTGGGGAGGAGGACGCGGAGGGAAGGGTCGGGTCGATGTGTTCCAAGGAGAGGGCCGGTGGAGGTGCGGAGAATGAAGTTGGAGTGCAGAGGAGAAGGAGAAGAAGGGAGAGGTAATGTAGAGTGTGAGCCATCTGTGTCATCGCTTGATGAGCGAGATTTTTTGACAGATTTGGTGTGTGCGGGTGTGTGTATATATATATTTAATTACATTGTGTTTGGTGACACGAACAAAATGTGTTTCGAGTACTTTGCGTTGTATTGTTCTCTACCGAACACGATGAGTGGAGGAATTGGCTTATAATTAACGACACATTAAACGTTTACTGAGAACTCCGCTGGGGGTTCTGGTACTTGAGAATTAGGGGTCCTTCCTGGTTGCTTCTTCGATTGGATCTTTCCTTCGAATTTTGTGTGTTCGTCACTTCCTCGTTTAGCAGAGCACATTTTGTTCAGATCACAACTGTACGTTTCTATCTAAAATGTGCGGATGTAATTGATCTATGTTATTCAAGAGTTTATTCGAGGACTTGATGTCAGTAATAGAAGGACAGCTAGTTACGGTCAGTAGAATGATTACGTAACATTTATCTCCAGAATACCTTTAAGAATATTGCGTGTTGTAACTACGAGCATTTTATAGTATCCTATGTATTGAGTCCTAGGTGCAGGATTATTGATACTTACAGCAGGCAAGTGTATGTCTGTTCACTTAAACCCGAGCGGGTAAGTACCAAATATTGAATCAGCTAACCACGCAGGGTGGATTCGGACCCAGCACTCGCTGTGATCGCTCTTGCTATATAATAAGTGCACATCAAGTATACCAGTAGAATAAGCCACTTAGGACGTATTTGGAAATACAGTCATAATTTGTTGCCGAAAAAAAAAACATCGTTTCCCGTTGGTGAAAAGGGCTTCAAATCTTTGTTGTTCGTTGCTTGTCATCTGATTGTATCAACGCGGCCGTGGTCATGATCCAGAGCCTAGACTCGTCGGAGATATCCCTGAACAATGTCAGCCGTCACTTTGATTCTGATGCAAGAAATCTTGGCCAGAACCTCTGAAAAGGGTGGCAAGAATCCTAGTTTATACATTGCAAATACGGCCACGCCCAATACGCAGCCGCACGGACAGTCCAAGATTGTGCGGCTGGATCCATGGATGAAACTGCTTAGTCTGAGATGATGTAAAATGAGTGAACTATGTCGAGAGGGAATGAGGGGGTGAGGGAGATCGAGAAGAGCCTGACTACATAACGCAGCGAGGAAGTGAAAACCTCGGAATCCACGAAGATGTGCTCTATGAATCCATAAAGAACGACCACGAAGAACTTCGAATCCACGAAGAAAACATTAAAAGAGAAATTCTATTGATAAAAAAGTTATGCATTTAGGGCTTACATAGAAACTACCAGGACCCAAACTTCACCAAAAAGCGAAATAACAAAACTCTCCTTAAAAGGCTCTCTATGATTAGAGAAGTAAATCGGTCAAATTTGAAATCAAACCGAATTTTCTTACCAATCAAAATAAACTCCTAAAACATTACCTAAAATAGTAAAAAAAAAACTAACAAAAACTCTGATATCTCTCAATCCGGAGGGAATTTCGAGAAACAAATGGCGGCAAAACCGAACAATGGTGGGTTTGGTTGACTCTGTCTTGAAAAAATACGCGATTTACATACATAACTCGTCCAATTTCGACGTATGGTTTGAAAGATATGGCCCGTTATTCGTTGCAAATTTTTTCCCCTCCGCTGGGCCCGCATTTGGGCTATTGACAGTCTTGTTTCTCCTTAAATATATCAGCAGTGCGCTCTACATCACTACGGTTGGGTGGAGCTCATTAGTCCAGGTCGATACTGGATGTACGCAGAGGCAAGCTTGATGTTCATAAAGGATGAAGAGATGCTGAAAAGGCCGATGGCAGACGAATCCAGAATCGTTCATGAGAACGGTGCAGATGTTCTTGGTGGCAGGAGGGAGAGGATACTGGGAGACGTCAGAGGCCAATAAAGGATGAAGCAGTTGTGCTCGGAGGGAGAGGATATTGGGAGACGTCAGAGGCGGAACACAATATCGATGGGTTCAAACAGTGATCCAACTCTTCGTCCAATTAACATACCGTGGGAGACCTTAGTTAAGAATCAATCTTTGCCATTATTTGTGACCCTCTGGTTTGTAAGATACGTGACAATGTGACGTCCCTGGAAATTTTGATGTGTAGTTTTCCACAAATTTTGATTATTTCTTATTTCAAAGAAATATCACAACTACACGAGGTCTCCTAATTTCCCAGACCAACAGGTTTGGTTAAACAAACACCATCTTCTTCTTCTTCTTCTTCTTTTTTCTTTTTCAATAAACACCATCATCTTGATTGTCCTCTATATTAATATTACTTCTGCAAGCATCTAAGAATGTTCGCATTCATCAAAATTTTTAGAGAAACATAGATTTCCATTGCCCCTGATTAAGCTATTGAAACGCTAACAAACTTCCGAACAAATACAAGATACACCGCGAGAACTCGACTTCTTCTACTAAAGATTTCAGAGACACCAAAATACTCGCTCGCAAATTACTCATATCTATATACTATACCCTATGACAAACCAAGAAACACAACCAAAATTACTTAAAGCGCAGCCACCGCCGAGCAAGACGCGGTCTCCTCGTCCTCCTTCACCTTCCCTCCGACCATGTTCACCGTCCTCAAATAACACATCTTCTCATCCCTAAACTTATAAATCGACTTTGTGTCGCCGCTCCCCCAAACAACCTTTTTGTCCTCCACCAACACCGACCCCTCCGCCTCCTGCCGATCAGTAATTGTGCTAAAACTCACCTTTCCCCGCCGTCATGCTCCTCATCTCCATCATCTCATGGGACATCTTCGTCTTGTGAATCCTTGTCCCTCCCCCTCCGTTCGAGCTCATCGTCATCATCTGCAATGGATTCTCAGTGTCAACCGATACTCTCCTGAGCACTACATGATCCCTCTCGATTCGGATTGTTGTCCTCGCTTTGCTCTCCATCTCGACGTTCTTGGTGTTTCCCTTGTCTTCGACCTCAATGTGGCTCTTGAACTTGATTTTATGTCGGATGCTCGTGCTTGTATTTCCTTCAGAGGAGCTCACCCAGCCAGAGAACCGAACGATGGTCTGTCCCTCAACTTCAGATTTCCCGTCAGAGTTTCGCCAGTCAGCTTGTTTGCTCATACGAAGAGTCGGGACTTTGTATCGGACCAATGCGCCTTCGACTTGGTCAGACCACGCATCGAGCCATAAGTGGAGGTTAGCGTCAACAAGACCAGTATGGCTGGCTGTCGCGAACGGTGAGCCAAATTCATGTGGTCGGCCATCAACGAGCTGGCCAACGAAAGGGGTGAGGTCGAGGTCATAGAAGGATGGTCGATGCCCCGATGCGCCGTCACTGGACCCAGAAGAGGTGTTGATGGAGCCAGGGTATATGACGGGAACGGCACTGCCGAGCCGACATATTTCATCGATCCATCGCCACACCTGACGGAACCCTCCGTTGGGCTTCTTGGACCCGTACCCGCTGCCAACATGGCCGGCTAATGTGGTGGTGCGAAGAGGGTTGGAGTACCAGTACTCATCGTCGTCATGGTGGGAGACGTAAACTTCTAAAACGGCACGGTATGTATTTCTCGGAACAGTTATCTTGGCCACCTGCACGTCCGACTCGTTCGTAACTTTGAACCAGAATCCACCGTCGACATTCCCGCAAGTTTTTGACACCGGTATGATTAGATCGGCAGGCTCCCGATAGAGGCCTCGGATTGTCGGGTGAGCATTAAGACGCCCCTCGTCGTGGCTTTGGTGCACGGCGCCGCGATAAAAATGAAGAGAAACATTGACGGAGTATACCCCAGGAAAGGTGAAATTTGAGTTTTCCAGCATCATTTCCAGCATCATGGCAAGCTCAGAAGTTCCACGGAGCAGCGCCGTGTACCGAGTGACGTCCTTCCGCACGCGCCAGTACACGCCCGGGGACATTGGGAACGGCGTGGTGGTCCGTAGGATCTCCGCTCCGTTAAGCCAGATGGCGGCGATGCGGTCTTTTTGGATGTCGGAGACCGAGGCGGAGAGCTCGAGGACGACTCGGGACCAGGGGGCAGGGCAGTTGGCTGGAGCGGTGTAGTTGGCGGTGGTAGGGGAGGAGCCGACGGTGCGAGCTTGATGGGGGCGACGGGAACGGCATGGGGGCTTCCGGAAGCTCGGGCGGTGGCGCTGACCGTGCATGGCTGCTGACAAAGAGGTGGAAGAAGATCAAGAGAAGGAAATGCATGTCTCGGGGCTTTGGATCGCTAAGGATGTGATGAGAGAGATTTATAGAGTGAAGAAACAGTAGGGAAATGTTTTGCAGGTGAAAGTTGAATATGTACGTACTCACGAGGGGTATGCTTCTTGGTTATTTCCTTCGTTTTCTGTGCACCGTGCAAAAAGGGCACTCTAGCAGAGGGAAGCGACTACGGGTACAAAATCATATGGATTTTCTCCCGTGTCATGTTTTTTTGTTGTAGGTTATGTTTGTTTGGATACAGTGGGAGGACTTTGATGAACAAGGACTGGTTTACACTTCGACATCCTGACTAGGGGGTGTGAAGTTTCAGAGTTCGATCTCATGGTAACCTCTGCCTAATTTGGCTGTAAAAGAACTGATTTCAGAGGTGGCCAGGTTTTGCCTACAGCTAGGACTTAGCCAGCCAGGGATCTAACATGCCTGATTAAATATTTATTCAACTAAAAAAGTCAAATTTTATTATGTGATCCACTGAGTAAGTCATTTAAATAAGATAGCTTGAAGAAACTAACAGAAGCCTGGTAATAATAAGGCCTGGAAGAAGATAAACCCAAAATAGAGAGCACTAATGGGAGAAAATACCCCAAACTAAGGAGCACTAATGGTAAAATATAGAAGTAAGATAGATAAAACAACCGTCATGAAAAATTGACTGAAAGTGTATCATATATTCATACAGAAGGAAATGTGGCATGAAGGTGACCATGTACTCACATAGCAGAGCAATCAAAATGTTAAGGTTTGAATGGCCTAAAAACACAACAAAGTACAAATTAAAGGAAAACATCAAAGTAACTTAAACATCTCAGCAACCATATCGGAGAGGCCATAACAGGGCCTTTGTTGTTATATTTGCCACGTTAAAGTTGCAACTCATGAGATGAGAAGAATTTAATTCAAAAATTCAGGTTCCGTCTAGGATTTATTTCATTAATAACAACATACATTGTGAGCTCCCTCCGAGAGTTACTGGGAAGACCACGGGCATGCGGCCTCAAATGCCTGTTGTTCTTTACGACACAAGTCGAACTCATTTGTGTGATAATACATGCATCCTGCATAAGCATCCATCTCTTTTGTGCACCTCTGATGGAGGCTTTTCAACCTGGAGCAAACGAGACATCAGATGCTTCAAAAAGTAATTTTTAATAAAAAGGCAGAAAGGTAAAGGTTGAATCCTGCTCATGCCAAAAACTCATAATTCAAATCCACAATGCTGCCAACAATATTCATACATAGTTTAGCATAGCTTGTACAGATTACATCATTGACTTCAAATGTAAGGCTTTGCCAATGTACAATGTAAAATCAACATCAAAAAGTAGACAATATTATCTGTGAAAGCAAGAAAATAACAGGCTATGCAGAAGTTCCAAAATACTAGCATGTCCAGCTGCAAGGCCTTTTTTTTTAATAAATATAAAGTAGGCCGCACATGAGGTTTGAAAAGCATAGTGTGTAATGCAGAAAATATTTGGTGTTACCATATACGAGTCATGCTTACATAGACAACCAAGGATACCTGTCATAGTCTTCACTAGCGCTTACTTGATGCACATGTAGTGCATACTAGATGACAACACAACACATCTGAACTATTCTACCTGTAAATTTCTTGCACTCTTTTGCAATAGATATATTGCGAGGTAAGCATTATTGACAGAAAGATATAAGTAGGAAACCAAGCGGTACTTATTAGGGAACCCTAGATATTTTGGAAAATGTTTTGGGAGTTATAGTCGGTGATCTATGGAATCATCTGGAAAGCTCAAACTAAACATTACTTGCAACTGAGGTCTAACCTATAAAGAGAGAACAGGAAACTTCATTGGTAACAGATCAGTAAAGCAATACAACTTGATCTTTCTTGAGTCATTCTCTCATGTTCTATTGAGAGTGGATGACATGATGGGTACTTTTAATGGGGGAATATGGACTAAGTGAATCACAAACTAGCTAGTTTGGGTTCATAAATTAGGTGTCCAAGCAGTGGAGGCATGGGTAGGGAAGGCGGCATTCACTGTGGCAAATGTACAAGATCAACATGAGATTATAGAGGATCACATAGAGAAGATCGAGTCAGGAAACAATGCACTTTAGGAGCAGTTTCAATCGGCACACTTTTAACACACTACAACAATAAAATGAGTCCTTGGAGCAACAGAATGTGCCCCTCTGAAGGGTCAGACGGGGATGCTTATGAAGGGGACTGCCGAGGTCATGCAGAACATTAGAACGACGAATGAGGCTGTCACCATGTATCATGCTCGGGCCACTTTATAAACCCAAACTAGCCAACTCGTTTGGTATTTCGCTCAATGTCCAACAAAACTGACTGAGTTAGCCTTCACTCTAGCTCAAAAAACAAGAGAACTTAAGAGAGAATCGTATTATATATGGATGAGTCCCAAATAGTAGGAAAAAGAAAGTCAAAAGAAGATTTAGAATGAATGATATTTATGTTTATCTCAACATGTCTCATATTCTTTCCAACCCGATGCGATAAGCACCTGAGAAACATATGTATTGTAGATAGGCTTTACACCATGTTTTTAGATAATAGGACAAGGAAATTATTTATGACATCTAACAAGGCTCTTTCTAGCACATGTAATGCGTGTGTTAAAAAAAATCTAATTAGACTCTAACACTGATTAAGAAATGAGTACCTATATCCAACCAGTACCTATATCCGAACGAGTAACTGGTCGCTTAAGAAACGGGTAGGTCGGACATATGTTACTAAAATTTATATGTTTTGTTATTTGAAAGAATGATTTTATAGGGATCTTCGGAGATATTATGGTAGGTTTGTGAAAAAGTTACTCTTTTTGGCCATCATATAACACCAAGACTATAGAAATTCTTTTATTTATAGATGAGTACCAAATAGTAGGGGGGGAACCAGAAGGAAGATTTAGAATTAATGATGTTTACGTATATCTTAACATGTTCTGTATTCATTCCAAACCATGCAATAACAACCCCCACAGAAATATGGCACTGTAGATAGGATTCTCGCCATGTTTTTTGGTTTTTGTACAAGGGGATTACTTATGACATCTCACAAGCCTTTATCTATGGCACATGTATGTCTGTGAAACATCTAAATTAGAGTCTAAAGGCAAATTGAGAAATGGGTAACTATATCCAATCTAGTAACCCGCTTAAGAAACGGGTAAGGTGGAACATAGGTTACTAAAATTTGTACTTTTTTTAATTTGAAAAAAGGTTTTTACAGGGAACCACCCTTACCTTGGCCTATATTTATATTAGGTTTGTGAAAAAAAAATACCATTTTTTTGTTGAACATGTGACACCAAGATTTAAAAATTCTTTTATACACAGATGAGTACCAAAAAGTAGGAAAAAGAAAGCCAGAGGAAAAATTAGAATGAACAATATTTACGTTTATCACAACAAATGTCCTATTTTCTTTCCAATCAAGGCGATACCCCCCACCAAAAAAAATAGGCACTGTAGATAGGATTCTTGTCATGTTTTTAGGTTTAAGACAGAAGGCTATTTATGACATCAGAGAAGCTTATCCTTCTAGCATATGTAATGTGTGCGTTAAAAAAAATCTAAATTACAGTTTAAACACTAATTAAGAAGTGCGTACCTATATCCGACCTAGTAACCCGCTTAAAAAATTAATTGGTATCTCGGGACATATGTTACTAAATTTATAAATTTTGTTATTTAAAAGAAGGGCTTCTACATGGAATCAGACTTAACATAGGCCATATTTATGGCAGGTTTGTGAAGCCCTTTTTGTCTAACATATTACACCAAGATTTAAAAATACTTTCATATATAGATGTACCAAATAGTAGTAAAAGGAAAGGCAAAGGGAAGAGACTTAGAATGAATGATATTAGGGAAGAGATTTAGAATGAATGATATTAGTATGGACGAGTAAAGAATAGGATCTTCACGATATCACCATTCCTTTAAGTAGCTCATTAAAATTTTATCATATATAAGAATATAAAGCATTATATGATAATATCAGAAAAGATCCAGAATGACGTATTCGAATAGTTGGGAATCTTGGGATAAGAACCCTGCATTTTATTTGACATGAGAATTCAAAGATATATTCTTTTGGGTAACAATCTTTTTGGGATAAGAACCCTGCATTTTATTTGACATGAGAATTCAAAGATATATTCTTTTGGGTAACAATCTTTAACATTTGTATGCAGAATGCTTGTTTAGACATGAGAATTCAAAGATATATTCTTTTGGGTAACAATCTTTAACATTTGTATGCAGAATGCTTGTTTATATGAGTAATAGACAAAATCTTCATGATATAAACATTCTTTAAAATAACTCATTAAATATTTTTATCATGTACAAATGTACAATACCACCTTTTTAATACTCATTTAAATGAGGTATACATAGTGTAAGCAATTCATTATTTTAAATTAACTTCATAATGGGAAGTAGTAAAATTAAGGTAAACCCCACATGAACTTTCAGTGAATTGTAAACCCCATGAACTTTCAAAACCATACTAAACCCCTAATAGCTTTTGTAGAAAACCCCCACGAATTTTTTAGGTAAATTGCATTAAGCCCCCATAGGTAATTTCATATAGCCTAGACTTTTTTTTTTGTTGGTATAGATGATGAAAAATATAACTTTATAATTCTTGTAACAATATTATTTGTTATAAACTAGGTTGCATAGGTACTGGTACGGGTGCAGGTGCGGGACATGGTAAATTTATAAAACATCACACGGAGACAAAAAAACTCAAACTCCAACTTCTTTAAAGCTACCATACATTGTTGTAAAAAGTGGCTAATAGCGCCGCTAATCGCGGTCGTGGTGCTTCACCGCGCTGTTTAAGGGGATCGCGGGGTGGTTTGGCGGAGAAAACCGTCATGTGCTCGAAACGCGCGAAATAGCGGGTATTAGTACTGAAAAGTGCTAAAACCGGTTCATAAATCCTTCCCCGAACCCGACCCGAACCCATTAAAAAAAAACCATCTCTCTCTGATTCCTAAATCCCGACTGTCTGTGCCCTAGCCGCCTGCTCTCCCTCTTGTGCCTCTCTCTTTCACGTCCTCCGGCAACTCTTCTGGCGCCGCCTTCGGTCCGCCTTCGGTCAACGCCGCCTCCGGTCGACGCCATCTCCCGCACCAGCAACACCTCCGGTCAAGCTTATCTCTCTCTCTCATGGTCTCACCCTCCTCTCTCTCTCCGGTCAACACACCTCCGGCCACCTTCCTCTCTGTTGGGCTTCGTCTGTAACAGAGAGAAGAAGGTAATAATTTGATTTTTGAAATGAAATGCTTGTTAGGTGTAAATTTCTTGTATTATCAGTAAAGGTAAATTTCTTGTATTTTTCGTATTGCCAAAAGTTTCATACTTCCATGTCTACGTAATTTTTCAGGTTAAGTCAATTGTAATGTTAATGACATCCCATTCTAATCACTTCCTGTTACTTTAAATACTTTTTTTAAAATATCTAATTACCAGTAATATGTGTGGTTGGAACCCCCCCCCCCTTATTGGACATTTGTATTTGTTAGAACTTAGAAAGCTTGAGGTAGTGTAAACATGATACTGTGACCCGTGCATGATGCCTAGTATAATCAAATAATTATCAGTAATTTTCTCACAATCCCAAATATCAATATCAATATCAATTCAATGACGCAAATCAAATTACAGTGCTATTTGTTTCAATTATTCATTAATTAATATTTAATAGTCCATCTCTTTAGTTATGATTTATTGATAAATGATATAATATGTTGATAAATTTTAATATTGTAAAGTTCTAGTACTTATATTGTTATTTGTTATTGTTCATTGAATAGGCATAATTTCAACCATTATATGAAATTGTCCTCTACAGCATCTAATCCATTGATGAGTTCTCAAAATCGAGAGTCAGGTAGCTCCCAAAGCCGACCAAATCTAACTACTGAGGCTCGAGATTCGGTTCAACACCCACATCCGCGTCCTTCAGATGATATTGGATGGGATTGGGCAATTTATCCAGAATGACCTAAGAAAAATAAGATCAAGTGCACTTTGTATGGACATGAAACCACTGGTGACATTTCCCGTCATAAAGAGCAC